GCATCCCGTGGAGTACGCCAAATACGAGGCAAAAAAGAAGGGACGACAAGAAGTCCAAACCCAAATTTCTCGGTTTGCTAACAGAGGTAAGGGCGGCCTTTTTTCTTATAGCGACGAGCAAAATAAGCAAAAAATGGCCGAAATGATTTGTGAAGAAAATTTGCCATACATGTTTTCTGAAAAACTTAGTTTTATTGATTATTGTCAACAGGCATTAAACCCTCAAACACGAGGCTTTTCAAGAAAAACAATTAAACGAGAAATTATTCGCCAGTATAAAATGGAAAAAATTAATTTGGCAAATTTTTTTCTCAATTTTAATTCTCGTGTTGCTATTTGTTCTGATATTTGGGGTGAAACTTATCATAATTTGTCTTATATGGGTGTTACTTGTCATTGGATAGATAGTGATTGGATTATGCATAAACGTGTTCTTGCATTTCGTGATTTCAATGATCAGCATACTGCTGAAAATATTTTTATATTGCTTCAGAGTATTCTGCGGGAATATAACTTATCTGAAAAAGTTTTTTCATTTGGTTTTGATAATGCTACTAATAATACGGATGCTATTCTTAGACTTAGAGAAATTTGCCCACCGTCTACGACTATGGGTAGATTTCTGCATCAACAGTGTGCCTGTCATGTTTTAAATTTATGTGTTCAACAGGGACTAGAAGCTATGGGCGGAGTTTTGACAAATATTAAAGAAGGAATTAAAAAAATTTGGGGGGCTCGTCTTATTTCGAGGTCCTGGAAGATGTTCTGTAAGTCTAAGGGTAAAAAAAAATAAGTTTTGCCAGAGATATCAACATTAGATGGAATAGTACTTACAAATTGATTGCACAGATCCTAAGATATTAAGAGGAACTTGCTGAATTTTTTAGGAATGAACTTCATATAATCATTAATCCTTTTGAATTTGTTATTGTTGAAAAATTGAATGCCGTATTAGAAGTTTTTAATAACACAACTCTTACTTTTTCCCATGTTTACCAACCAACTACAAATACATTTTTTAAAGAGTGCATTACAATCGCAACATGTTTTCGTGAAAGTATGGCTGATCCAGATTTGCACTCTTATGTCTCTCCTATGAGAGATAAATGATGTACTTATTATTTGTACATTCCTGATATTTATAAAATAAGTATTATTTGTGATCCACGATTTAAGATTGAAAATTTTAAAATTCTAATTGAGTATTACTACAGTTGTTTTTTAGATAAAAATAGTTATTACTACAGCTATTTAGTAGAATGAAAAAATGAAAGAGATAAATGCTATAACTCTTTTTGAGGATTTGTTTAAGGAATATCAAGGGTTATACGGTACTGTACAAGAAGAAACAGCACCACCTCCGCCCCCGAAATCAAAAAAAGGTTTTGCCGGCATAGTCGGTGGCCTTCTTGCAAAGAAAGGGAAGCGTGCCCAGTCTTCGACGAGTTCAAGTGGTACAACAGTAAGCTCGCACAACGAACTTGCTATGTACCAGGNCGATTTTGACGTGCTCGGATGGTGGAAGCGGAACGAACACATGTTCCCATGTCTCGGCATGCTAGCAAGACAAGTGTTGTCCGTCCCGGTATCAACCGTAGCAGTTGAACGAGAATTCAGTGCTGGCGGCAACATTCTAACCGACTACCGAAGTTGTCTTAACGCTGAATCTCTTGAAACACTGGTTTGCAACCAAGATTGGCTCTTGGCAAGACGTCGGGCTCAAGAGTCATCGTACCAACTCGAATCGGAGCATTACATGAATGCAACTACAGATGGAAGTCCGAGTTCTGAAGAATAAGTTATAAATTTTTTTATGTTAATGTAAATATGTAATTAGTTTTTTTAGGTGAGCGATATATAAGCTCCTTCGAGGGTTTCTTTACGGTTCTTTACCTCGTCGCTTTTTTTGAACCGTCACGATATTAAATGTGGTTGTTCTTCAGTTAGTGTATTACTCATTTTCAATATTTAAATAACAACAACATTTTTAGATTTTTTATTTCATTCTTTCCTTAAACAATTGCAAATTTATAATTTTATACTTTAAAAATTTAAAAAAAGCAAAAAAAAATAGGGGGGGCCGAACCCGGCCGGTCCGGGAACCGGAATCGGTACCGGCCGGCACGGTGACGGTTCTGGTTACATGGGGTGGCGGTACCGGAACCGGCGGTTCCGGAACCGTACCGTGTCCACCCCTAGTCCGTATTTAAAGAGTACTACCACCCAAATTATTTCTCGAAATGAATATATATATTGATATTAAATTTATTTGTTAATTTAATATGAATAGATTTTTATTTACAATTGTTCATGGTTAAAGTTAAAAAAACTTAATTGCAAAGGATTAATTTCCTTAATTTCTTACTTTCCTTTTTAGTAGTCTGAAAATTTTGTTTCTGTTTTCTATTTTGATAACAAAATTGAAATTAATGTGTCATTACACTCTCACTTTTATCTACACTATTCACTTTAGAGTCACTGTTCGATATTTGCATGTCATTGATCCTAATCATTGAATTTTTATTCATTTTTCAATAATGTATCCCTCGCTTTTTCATTCACTTTATTCACTTTTTTAATCTTTATACTAAATCAAGCATTGAGTTCGTCACCATTTGACACGCAAAGGGAATCACACAAGTAGAGAGAGAGAGTACAACTTTTTATTTCTTCTAAACTGCGTTAAAATAAATATGGAGTAGGTATTATATACGGAGTATCATTTTTTTTATTACAATAATTTGCACTAAATCGGACTAAAATATAAGTGATTTTCCAATGTAAGATTTAAATTTTTTTTATTCTCTAAATAGAACTTAATAATGTCTAGTGAGAAATAATGTCCAGTGATAGTGGATATTTTACTTGAATAATGACTAATGGTTCTACATTGGAAAATGAAAATATATGATTCCGTATTGAGAAAGTCATTATATTTTAATCTTAAATTTTCCTAGATATTATCATCGCGAGCTTTCTATTCTTATACTCCTAGCTTATTCCTGTCATATTATAATTTGAATCTAAGATTTTCTAGAATTAAACAAACAAAAAAAACTACATCAATAGTTAATACTCCATCCGTTTGGAAAAACACTTCCCATTTGGATTTGGAGCAAAAATAAGGAAGTGTTAAATTATAGTTGATTTCCAATTTTGCCCCTGATGTGATGGGTAAAAGTAAGATGTGATGGATAGATTATTAAAGAAAAAGTATGATGTGATAGGTAGGGTATGAAAAAGTAAGGGTAAAAGTGATTTTTTAATAGAAAAGGGAAGTATTTTGTTGAAAGTGGAAAAAATGAAAGAGGAAGTGTTTTTGAGAACGGAGGGAGTATTAAAAGAAGTTGACGAATAGATGGAGAAAATAAAAGTCAGAGGATCAGCTAGCCAGCAGTGTGTTGTACGTACGTCAAACAAAATTTAGAGACTAAGCAGAAATTAGTCGTTGGATTTGAAAGAAGAAAAGGAAACGTTTCTCTGATCTGATCTCCTTTGTTTTTGTATGTATATATATTTGATGATGCATTTGCTTGCTGTCCAAACGCGTCTGCCAACGCATATGATATACGTACTCCCTATAATTACTATGCATGAATCCCCATATATGCTAGGGTGGACACAGCTCGAGACCGTTCGGATTTTATACCGTCTCACATTTTGTTTCAATTTTCTTCTTCAAACGGTTCGGACTACAAGCTTATCTCTCTTTGTCCCTTAATATACGGGTTGGGGATAAAACGGAACGAGTTCAAGTTGTGTTGAATTGCTATGTCATTATCCAAAATTAGATATATAAGGAATTTTTATTTTGAATGTTTTAAAAAAGAAAAAGTAATAAGGAAATATGAAAAAAATATTGCAACATACATCAAAAGTCAAGACTAAAAGCTTCATAAAAATTATGAGCCACAAATTGGGGTGGTTCCGGTTAGAACACTCTGGATTTTCATGTGTTCCGGTCCTATTTCATTTTTTAGAATATCCGAGTATGGATATATCTCAGAACTGTTTGAATATAAATAACTCATCCTGCGCCACAACCACAAGCTTGAGCTTTTGGTTGAGTTCGTTCCTTGACAAGAACCATTTTAGGAAAAAATAAAAATTGTGATATTTTTTTGTTTTATATCATTATATAAATATGAGTAAATAAAAAGATACTCCCTCCGTCCCAGAGTATTCGTCCAGTTTGGACTTTTGGAACTGTTCATCTAAGGACTTTGACTCATTAAATTCTCTCAATGTGTAAGCCTAAATATAGTCATGTGTGATCTTGTTTGATTTGTCATAACATATACTCCCTCCGTTCCACAAAACCGTTCCGATTTTGACTTTGGGGAAAAATAAAGAAAGTGTAATTTTGGTTGACTTTCCAATTTTGCCCCTGATGTGATGAGAAAAAATAAGATGAGATAGTTTGGTTATTAGTGATAAAGTATGATGTGATAGGTAGGGTATGAAAAAGTATGGATAAAAGTGATTTTTTAATAGAAAGTGGAAGTGTTTTGTGGAAAACAAAAAAATGAAAGAGGAAGGGTTTTGTAGAACGGAGGGAGTAGATTATTAATATATACTCCCTCCGTCCCAAAAAGTCTTTCCTGTTTCATTTTTTGCGCATCCCATAAAACATTTCTACCGACATTTAAAATGCCTAAAATTTACAACATTTCTTCTTTATTGTGGGTAGAAGTTATTTTGAAAGTTTTTTTGGCATTCAAGGCGGGATAAAAGTCTTTTATGAGATGCGCAAAAAATGAAACAGGAAAGACTTTTTGGGACGGAGAGAGTAATTTCTATAATTTTTTAATATACAAATTACAAGATAAAATGGATTAAAGAAGTGTATTAGATGGTGTGTAAAAATGAAAGTGAACAAATACTCTGGGACGGAGGTACTATATACAAATCTACATGACAACGTGACAGAACGCGAAAATATTTATATGACCGGTCCTGTCCCATTTTAAAATGGTTCAAAATAAGTTCGAGACAAAAAAAAATATCTCTAACAAAACGGGACATTATAGAGACGGAACGAGATATTTCGGATCGGGACATTATATTCTTGCGATGGGAGTGGCATGAGATAGAATATGAAATATATTGTCGAATTTAGATTAAGCTTTCACGAATTTGTTATTTTTTGTATCCCTCAAACTTTTCCAAATTAATCAAATTGAGTTGAACGTTTTTTAAAATTATGTTTTCTCTTCTACTTCGATGTTGGACGGTTTGCTATCTCCCAACACAAATGCTTGTACTTTGAACATTAAGGTAGTATGTACTCCATCTATTTTTTTTAAAAAAAACATTTCATTTAATTTTTACCACTTCAAGCTTTCTGATAATTTTTGTTTGCCTATTTTTTTGTTTATCTTCTGATTCTTCTCGTTTATTATTCAAATTGTCAAACTTTATTCACTTTGTCAGTCTATTTACGTTACTCATTTAATAAAATAATATAGTTACATCATTTCTTGTTTTGTACTCCCTCCGTCCCTAAATATTTGTCACACTTCTATTATCGAGGTGAAATATCGAGTTTTTTCAATTGATTTTATTTACATATTGGTATAGAAATAAAAAATAAAATTTACATATCAAAAAACTAATGAAAAGTTCTTCGAAATAAGAGGTGTCAAGAATATTTTATTTTATCAAATAACCAATGAAAACGTAGAATTAACCAAAAGTTCCCGTGACTGGTGAAAAAGCAAATGTGAGATATATTTTGGGACGGAGGGAGTGCATTTTTTTTATGTACTTTTTAATCATATAACCATAATGAATGATTATGCGTACTGGGTACTATGTGCCCATTAATTAATTAATCATTAAGATTTAAACTAATTGGGAGGATCATACTATCGTGCAGCAGGGCAAGTTAAGACAAGACGACATTGCCAGCCGTGCGTCCAGAGCCACACGCTCTGCTCAGCTCCGTCCTTTAATACATCATTCATTCGTAATTAATTCTTTTCTGATTTCTCGACAACCTAATTAATATCCATTTCGAATTTTATGTTTGCTTTTACTCCATTAATATAATTGCTGTCGATCTTAGGTAGTTACTTATTCTCTTGATTTATTTATTAGGTTCGGTAGGGAGGCTTATAAACTGTTGCGGGGACAAAAAAAAAAGTTTTTATTATAGTGTGGAAAATAAATCTAAATTATTTAATTATAAACTGTATGAAGGCCTGGCTAATTATTAAAATTTAATTATGCTCTCCGTACTCCCAAACAGAAAAGAGAAAATAAAGGATTAAGCTATGTGTACCCCAACATTTATACCCCGCAGGTTTGCACCAACATTTTGTGTTGGTGCAAAACTAATTTTTGTTAACGCACCAAACTTATTTCGGTGTAAGCCATCAACATGTTTGTGCATAAGTGTGGTGTAAAATTGGGGTACATTTTTTTGGTATAAGTGTAGCATGGTCCGAAAAAAAATGACAGGGGAGGGAGGGGTAACGACGTCATATTCACCGTATGTTGTTTCGTGGTCGGAAAGTTTCGAAGATTTGACTGGAGAGGTGAAAGTCAACGGGAAGATTGATTTTCCAACCAACCCACTTTGGACTCTCGACACCACACACATGACCCACCACCCCACAGATTTTTTATGGGTGAAATTTGCACTGCATAGAACTAAAGCACAAATCATTTCCCAATATAGGACTTAAATTTTACTCTCTCCGTCCTAAAACTTTCTTCCCAGAGCACTATTCCAACTTCACGGGAATTTATATTTATTTGTGTTTTTTCATGGCATATATGATA